CTGAACTTACACAAAACCAAGAAATCCATCAAATGTTTATTGAAAAAGGCTATTCTTATCTGAAGGCTGACGGTATGCATGGTACAATCAAATGGAAAAACTAAGCAGTATACAATATCCGTGAAAAAATAATTATGGGAATGGCAAGACAAGACAAGTTGTGGCACAGTGAATTATAAAAAAGTCATTAAAAAAAAAAGAAAGAAATTCTAATGGCAATTTCAATTGGCTTAAAATAAAATGATTACCTTATAAAAGTCGGATCATGGAGTTATATTTTATTAATACAAAAAAAATTTTTGAATTTCATATGTCGCCATATTGTTGCCATTTTTGGGCAATCTTGATCATTGCTGATTAGTTTGAATAATTGGATTAGACAATTATCTAGTTAATTTTGTGTTTATTATCATGTAAATACAAGTTTAATAAAACTTATATAATGCATATGTTTATATTTTGTTTATATTGCTATATTGTTTATATTTTGTTTATATTGCTGATTAGTTTGAATAATTGGATTAGACAATTATCTAGTTAATTTTGTGTTTATTATCATGTAAATACAAGTTTAATAAAACTTATATAATGCATATGTTTATATTTTGTAAAGCAAAAAGCATTATGTCAAAGCACGTTGCACTGATAGTGATATTAAAATTTATAAAAAAAGTAATCTTATCACCATTAAAAATAATCCACAATAAAAACAAAAGTAAGTTTATCACCGAAATGTGTGTGAACGTAATTAAGTGTTTTAAAAACACACCCTAAAGATATATTTTATAGAACAAATGAAAATTTTTAATTGTTATTGAAAAGTAATGTTTTGGTAATAATAACAAAAAAACAACATATAACAAAACAAAAACAACATAACAAAAAAACAACATATACTAAAATTCTCCCCAATCCGTTTTCCGACCACGAGTTCTTAACAACAACCGTCAATTTTAGTGAAACTAGGGGAGGGCCAGGATACTGGAAATTAAATTGTTCCCTTTTGAAAATAAAGGTGCATAGGCAAAAAATTAAACTCTTAATTCAAGTTTGGCAAGCAAAAAAACGGTCCTACAACTCAATTTTAAAATGGTGGGACGACTGCAAACTTTTTGTTAGGGTTGAATTACAACATTTATCGATACAGGAAAGTGTGAAAAACGAAAAAAAAAATGAAAAGGATTGAAAACGAAATCCAACGGAAGCGACAAAACGCTAACCCGAATTTAGATAGCATCAAAGAAAAACGCGATGCTCTTTTCTTGCTCCAGTTTCCAGGAGCGTTTATTCGCACGAAACAAAATCTAATCGAAGAAGGAGAAAAATCTTTAAAATTTTTGTATTATTGGGAAAAAGTTCAAGATCGGAATAAATCAATTACCGAAATTCGCAAGAATGACGGCACATTGACGAGAAATCTGGTGAAATACTTAACTCCCTCGTTTCATATTATAAAAACATTTACACCAAAACGAATTTATGCAAAGACAGCCAAAACTATGTCTTGTCACACATCACTAAACATTTAAGTGATGATTAAAACCAAATTTTAAATACCCGCCTAACTGGCGTGGAGCTAAAAGATACCCTTTTTAAATTTGAAAACGGAAAATCTCCGGGCTATGACTGACTCCCAGCTGAATTTTACGAAACTTTTTGGCACATTTTAGAAAAAGATTTTGAAAAACTTGCTTACGAAATACTTTTCGTAGAAAAAAATACCAGCCACTCTATAAAAAAAATCAATAATTTCACTGATTTTGGGAATCAGTGATTTTCACTGATTTTGGGAATCACAAGGACATTTTACCGAATGCAAAAATTGGAGGCCCATATCCTTAATCGGGGCTGATTACAAAATAATCACAAAAGCGCTGGCCCTAAGACTTGCAAAATTAATGGGGAAAATTATAGAACTAAATCAAACTTGCGGAATTCCAGGTAAAACAATTTTCTCAAATTTACATTTAGTGCGTGATATAATAGATTATGCGGAATTTAAAAATCTACCTAGTTTCATTTTATCAATAGATCAAGATAAGGCATTTGACAAAGTCGATCGTGCGTTTCTGCTGCAGATTCTCCAGAAATTCAATCTCGGAGAAAATTTTATACCTTTTGTTAACACTCTATATTCCAAAGTTTTGGCATCCGTTTTAAATTGCGGTTTCCTGTCAGCCTCTTTTCCTACCGAAATGGGAGTTAGACAAGACGACCTTTTCTCTCTTTTGTTGTATGTCTTTGTCGCTAAAGCTCTCGCTTTGGTGATCAGAGTAGACAGCAGAATCGAGGGATTCCCACTACCAGGAACACCAAAATCCCTTAAATTACAGCAGTACACAGACAATTCGAAATTTTTTGCCAGGGACGTAAAATCAGTCCGCTTTTTTTTCGAAACAATAAAACTATTTGAAAAAGCAAGTGGTTCAATGACTCAAAAATCAAGGGTCTTGCTCTTGGGGGTTTTGATCCTAAAATGTACCCAGAATTGGACAACATAGAGTGGACCGATAACACCGGTTAAAAACTTTTGGGTGTTACCTTTTATACCAGACTGAGTAATACTACCAATTTCAACTGGCTAGTAACTCTAAACAAAATAGAGAAAAAACTTAAGATTCTGGGACTACGTACTTTGTCACTTAGGGGAAAGACTATGTTGATAAATACGTTAGCAATGTCAAAAGTGTGATTTCTGGTAAACGTGCTTCCCGTTCCCGAATGGGTAATAGAACGTTTACACAGTCCCATATTCAAAAATCTGTGTCAAAAGATCAATTTCAATCCGGTCAAAAGAGAGACACTTTTTTTACCCGTCAAAAGCGGGGGTCTCGGAATTTTATCAAGGAGCAAAGCCTTGCACTTCGCCTCAAAACACTCTTTCAACTGAAAGAATGCGGAGAGGATAACACTCACAATTACTACTAGTTTTCAAAGTACTGGTTAGCAAGTTCATTTATAAAGTTTACTAACCAAAACCAAAGCTGGAATTTTTTTTAAAACAAAATAATTTTACAAAACACTGGGACAACAAAATGTCTCATTACTACAAAACAACAATTGAAATATTAGGCAACAACGGGTCCCTTTTTAGCATCCCCCTAAAATCAACAAAAAAAAATTATTTAGAAGTGGCAAAAAACAAAAGTACAGTTGTGCTAGCAGAACTTTTCTGGAACGGTTCAACAAAAACAACAATGCCGTGGACCCAAATTTGGAAAAAAAACTTTACCTCCCACGCATGCGGACCGACACAAAACATCCTCTTTCGATTTTTACACAACAGTCTACCTTCTGCGGCCTTGCTAGCCAAAAGCACAAGGTAACAGATCGTTAAAACAACAAATGCAAAACTTGTGGTAAAGTCGAGGACAATCTCCACATCTTTGCCTACTGTCCTCTCTCTATTGAAATATGGGAGTATTTTAAACATGTATATAACTCCTTGACATCCCAAAACAACTTTTCTCCGATAAATTCGATTTTCTCTATTGAAACCGCGGATTTATTGGAAAAAAAACCCTACCTTATCAGCATAAAATTGTTCAAGAGCTTTCACCAATCGAAATAATCAAATGGCGACGCGAAGAAGCGGGCATAAATATTTATTTTTTCTGTGCCACTTTACTCCAATGTAAACACTCTTTTAAGGTACATTTCAAAATTTAGGCTTCTAGCGCACGCGAGGAAACAAAGCAATTTCTGATAAATAGAGGGGATTAAATTTAATATTTACATTAAATAACAGTATTAGGTACCACTCCTAATTAAAAATTTCAGGCTGTTTCACTTCTCCCCACTCTACTCTATTATATGAAAACTGTCCAGTCTTTGAAGTTGCAAAATCAATTTTTGAAATGATTTTTTTGTCAGCTTAAGCAGAGAGAACATGGTCAATTTTTCAATTTATACATTGACGATTGAGAAATCTCTTGACAAATGAACGCATAAAATATGGCCTACTATATAATATAGTAGGCCATGGTTTTCATATATACCAATAGTGTTTTGATGGATACTAATGACAAAAATGACTACATTTTAGAGGAAGTTGTAGTTTTTAGCGAGTTTGAATGTAAAGAAATTTTAAATGAACAAAGCTAATACAAAAATAAATTAAATTGTTAAGTATTGTGATATAGAAATTCGTTTAAAAATCATGAAAATAATTTGAAATTTTTATAAATAAAATTAAAAACAGAAAATCGAATGAAAAATTATTTCTAAAAATGTTTCTTTTAATTTAAAGTCACCTGCGTTTGATTTAAAAAACATTTTCTTCTATATTTGACAATATTTAATTAATTTTATATAGCATTTATCAGTTAAATTTGTATGCGCATCATTTGTATGTTATGCGCATAACTTTTGAATGGTATGCGCATATATTCGCCGATATGCGCATAAGTTCCAAACCCTAAATAAAACACTTACGTCTTATATAGAAGTTGCCAAATTAAAAATTAAATTAAACAATGTACATATTGCAATCTACATATTGCAATGTACCTATTTTAATGTACATATTGCAATGTACCTATTGCAACGTATATATTGCAATTTACTTATTTTATTTTATATATTTCAATGTACTTGTTGCAATGTGCATATTGGAGTGTAATTATTGCAACGTACTAAATGTAATATCAATAAAGCACTTAATAATCTCTTTTGTGGTCTCGACATCCTTATTTAAAAAAAAAATTGTCATCAATTACAAACCATTCTAGTATATTGAAAATTTATGTTAGGATGCCTATTTTTTACTTAAGCTTCTCTTTGAAGCGCCTGAAAACGATATACTGTTTGAATACATTTTTTTTTTAAGGATTAGCATTGACGAAAGATACGTATTTTTAATATACCTTAATTTATTTTGCGCCTAAAATATAGCAAATACGTAATAAATTGATGTAATGCATTTGTGTAATAACCCAACTTTAAAAAATAAAAGTGCGGTTTATAATTTTTTGGTTATTATTTGAATAAATTTTGGCATTGATTGGTTTATTGAGAAACCTTCCGGTGAATGTGCAATGTTTTAAGCAGTTATACTTTTTTGTTTGTTTATGTGTTTTGTTTAATCATAAAAATAAGTTATTATGATCGGAAATAAATAGGTGCAAACAGGAATATAAAGGTGCAAACATTCGCGTGAAATTTTATTGAAAAGGTATTCGTGAGTAAAAATGATAGATCAATATCTCCATCAGCTAATCATTGATCCTAGAATTTTTATAATTAGAATTTTTCAAATTTTTGAATTTTTTAAGTTTATTGATTTTATTATTATTTTTAAGTCATTTGATATGGTTTTAGAGTTTGGTGCTGGATGCATTGGTGGTAAGTTTATTGTCCTAATATTTTTTTCATGTATTAAAAAACTTTTCGTTTAACTGAATATATTTTTAAGTCTTATACTGATTTTAGAAATAGTTTTCTAAGCCAACTTTTTTCAAATTGAAAGTATCTGTTAGTTATTGCTATTAAATTGTATTGTAACGAAAGGCTCAAAATGTAATTAAGATTATGTTATTGGGAAACTGCAAAAAACAATGTTGCATAACAACCCAGATTATTTTTTTTAAAAACCTTTTAGATAAAAATAGTTAAAAAAAAATTGTTGTGAATAATAAAACCGTAAAAAGGTTTATTAATTTGATATGGTCTTAGAGTTTGGCGCTGGATGCATTGGTGGTAAGTTTATTGTCTTAAAACTTTTTTCATGTATTAAAAAACTTTTCGTTTAAATGGATATATTTTTAAGTCTTATACTGATTCAAAAATAGTTTTCTAAGCCAACTTTTTTCAAATTGAAAGTATCTGTTAGTTATTGCTATTAAATTGTATTGTAACGAAAGGCTCAAAATGTAATTAAGATTATGTTATTGGAAAACTGCAAAAAAAAAAAAAAAAAAAAAAGAATTGTTTTATTAGATACGCAACGGTGAAGTTCGTTTAGCTTTGCTAATCGAATTTAAACAAATTGAAATTCTGTTACAAAATTGACAATATTCGGTCTTTTTCATTTTCTTTTAAAAAATGCTTATACACCTTATAAAATAATTTAATTCAGATTTCTTTGAAATTTAATAATTTTAGTTGGAACTTAACTAAGTAAAAAAGCTGGAAATTCGATTAAATTCGGTAAATAAGTTGACCAAAATCAAACGAATTGTAACGAATTCTGTTACATAGTAACCAAATTCATTACTGTTCGTCCATTTTAGAGGGTAGACCGGAGCGATTTTAGCACTTTTGCTGCTTTAATGTTGTCTGTTCAACCTGATACGCTTTTTTCGTATACCATTAACTGAATCATATTGAACAAACTATATTTAGTTCGACCATCTTTAAAAATTAAAAAAAAAAAAAAAATTATTTATACTCATAAACATCGGTACACACTTATATGGGACGATTTCGCCAATGTAAAAAGAACTAAAGCTTTATTATATTTTGTCGAATTAAGCACATTCTGTGCACATGTCAATTCAAAAGCAGGCTTCACACGTCCATTTATGACAAGAAACGTAATGGAGATAGTCTTCTGATGAATCTACCCATGCCACACCAAACACAAAACAGCGACTTGTTTTTTGCTGTTTTTGTTATAAGCTTTTGACGTACTCGCTAGCATTTAATAATGTTTTTAAACTATGGGATTTCCTCTTCATTGAGCCATATGCTTTTACTTGATTAGGCAAAAATTTCTTTTTCTTTCTTGAGTCACTAGCTTTTTTGTTTTGAGAACTTCTTCATTTGACATTTCATTCTTCATGACATTTTCATTCTTGAATAGCCAATTGGAGATTGGTACTACTATAGGATTTCTTTTTCTTTGGGAGATACTTGCATACTATCTGAAACATAGGTAATATACAGCAAGTTTTAGATTTTGGCTTTTAAGGTAAAATCGCAACAAGATAAATATTGCCGATTAGCATAATAACTATCTTTTAAAATATCGATACTTGCATTTTATATTGGTGTATTTTAAATATTCTAATTGGTATAGTGGCTATAAACAATTAGCATTGGTGAGCATTGAATGAGAAGAAATTCGAATATAAGAATTTTTTTTAATTGGGTTTAACTGGAACTAATGACATTTTCAAATACAAAGTTTTAGGAGAAAATTTTTTTTAGAAAACTATTTAAAAATGTATATCTAAAAACTACTGATTTATTATACCTTATGTTAAAATACTTCTAATAAATTTTTCATTATTTTTTTAATACATATTTATTTATCATTACTATAATTCCTGATATATGCCCAATAATTTCATAAAATTGTTTGTATAATTATAAATATTAATATTAAATATTGTTTAGAAAGCTAAAATATTGTGCATTATGTATTTTTTTTAACTGTGGGACTATTTAATCATTCTGAGGCAAAATCACCCCACAATATTGTACTTCAACAAAAACCTATTTAAAATAAATACCACGAACGCCAGATAAGGGGTCGTCCATAAATTACGTCACGCTTAGGGGGAGGGGAAGGCGATTTTGTGACGATTTGTTACGAGGGGGAGGGGGTCTCGATTTTGTGACGCAAAATTTTTTCTTTTTTTTTTTAGAAAAGACGTTTTTTTAATTAAAAGTGTATCTGACCCAACCAAAACCCTCAGTTGATGTATATACATGTTAATTGCAAAATCAACTAATCCTAAATCTTACTTAGTCGATGTGTAAACTTCGTTACAGCCTATTAACGGGCTGTTACGGCTGTTTGTGCAGGGCACGTAAAGCGCTTTGAATTTATATGGTTCAAGTGCAGAACTTTATTTAGTTGGTGCACAAAAGTATGCAGCAACAAAAAAACAATCTTTGTGCAATAACTAAAATCCACTCGACTACGCTTACGTTGCTCGTTGGAAAAAAATTGTATTTATAAATTGATATTTTTGCATGTATAATATGATATAATTTATTATATACTATATATATAATATTTTGAATGTATTATATATCGGAAAAATAGATTTTTAAAACTTGTTTCATGTTTAGGAGAGCAATGTTAATTTATACAATTTTTTTACGGAACTATTGGGATGAAAAAAAAACATTAAATAGACTGAAAAGTACTAATTAATTAAATCAAAGAAGCTCAGAGAATAATAGACATTATTTTATTTAAAATCTTTTTGTATTTTTTTAAATTTTGCACTCCCTCACATCCTCCCTAAAAAAACACAAAAAAAATTTTTTAGGAAGGGGGGGTACAAAATTGTTACGTAATATTGGGGTGGGGGTCAACAAAGTGTTACGGATACGTTACGAGGAGGGGAGGGGAGGAAGACAAAAAATGTCTAAAAATGCGTGACGTAATTTATGGACGACTCCTTAATAGTTTTAACAAATTTATGAAGCTCTCACCTTAGTAGTTATTCTCAAATGTAATTTCAATCAATTTCACAAAAACTAATAATAATGCCAATTGAAGCAAGAGTGACACAATAATATCAATTAATAACATCAAACAGCAAACCTTATTTAAAACTTACAACAACCAATCAAATTAGGCAGCAACTATGATCAATCCATAGTTATAAGGTTATAATTTTCAAATAATAAATATTTTACATCATCTTAATATGGCGTTATATATATGGCATCTTAATATTAGCAGCCGTGGCGCAGTGGTAGCACACTTGCCTCAGAAACGTAAGATCCGCGGTTCAAACCCACCTTTGGGCAAGTTTTGCGACATCGGTTAGGAAGGAGGCGTGAACTTCCTATTAAATGCTCTTCCGCGGTGCTCTGTGATGAGACCGTAAGGACTTCTTGGGGCACCTAAATCAACATAAAAAAAAAAAAAAAAAAAAAAAAAAGTTATGCAAAAATAACATCTTTTTCTTGGAAAACTGGCGAAATCGTCCTCGATTATATATATATATATATATATATATATATATATATATATATATATATATATATATATATATATATATATATATATATATATATATATATATATATATATATATATATATATATATATATATATATATATATATATATATATATATATATATATATATATATATATATATATATATATATATATATATATATATATATATATATATGTGTGTGTTTTTCATCATACCATGTCTCGCTGACAATTAATTTAAAAATAAATATTTTTAAATTATAAAAATTTTATTTAAAAAAATGTTTTAATAAAAAATTTTTTTTGAAGACTTTTAATGTTAATATGGAGAAATGGCAAGAAGTCATTCTCCATTTCTTCTATTAGATTTATTGAATTTACGGTATAATAAAAGGAGTAATATATTTTGTTAAATCAATGCTATTATAGAAATTAATATCAGCTTCAGAATGTTTTTCTAAAAATATTGATATTTTAATTAGCAGTGAACTAAATTTAATATTTTTAAAAACAGAGTCCTTAACCATTTTAAATAGGAATCGGTTTGCTATTCCTAAATTCATTCACAATCAGTTTATCGTAAACAATAAGTGAATACTTTACATTATTTCTGTCAAATTTCATTTTACTCATTTGTTTCAAAATAATAATCTTGATTGATGTAAATTCCGGATCTTTTAAGTTTATTAGCAGCCTACAAAGCTATCACTTTGTCTTTAAGTTTATTTGCAGCCTGCAAAGCTTTCACTTTGTCTTTAAGTTTATTTGCAGCCTGCAAAGTTTTCACTTTGTCTTTAAGTTTATTTGCAGCCTGCAAAGCTTTCACTTTGTCTTTAAAATGGAATAATTTAAAAACTATGGTTCTTGTCATGTTTTCTTTCTTTTTTCCGTTCTATGAACTCTCTCTATATTAAATTACTGAGAGAAAGTTTCTTTTCAAATAGAGTTAGTATTTTTTAAAGTGTCATCTCAGTTCTTAAGTTTATTTCTGGCCATTCCATCAATCTGAAGATTGCTTCTTGTAAATCTGTCCTTGAGTTGCTTTAACTTTAAATTTTCTTCATTGTCACATTTACTTTTGCAATTACTATTGAGTGAATAGTTGGACTCGCATTAAGCACTGTTCCCATGGTTTCTTTTTGATTTCATTTTTGCCATTTATTTATGCATTCCTGTTTTAACAAATCAAAGTGTTATGTTTTTTATAACTTATTCTGCATTCTTTAAATTGACAATTTTTCGCAGCATGTTTATTTTTGTTTTCATGTTTAATTAGTCCACCATTTTGTTTTTAATCATAATTGCTGCTTTAACTTCCATTATTGGTCTTAAAAGTTATTTTTCTACCAAAATTATGTTTTCGCCGCTTCAAGTATTTTTCCACATAACAAAAAATTTCTTAAAAATAACTTTTGTAATGAAACTAATTATAAAAACT